AGGATGCTGGGCGAGGGAGGGACAGCGGCGGCCAGAGGGGAGTAAGAAAAAACAAGTTTGGAGAGTGCTGCTACCTACTCGTGCTTCCTGGTAGGACGAGGACGGGGCTCCAGAATGGGCGCGGAAGCGGACAGGGGAAGACGTCGGTCCAAGTGGGCGAGCAAAGGCGGGTTTGCGGCCAATGCGGTAGTTTGCTGTGTGCCTGGCAGCTGGAGTTTCTTGATGCAGCAGGCCAGGTGAAGGTGATTGATTGTAAGGGTACTGTTGCTGAAGAAGAAAAAAGTCGATGTATCGAAAAGATTTTGCTGTTCTTTTTTCGCTGTGGGTGACGATGATGCTGGTGGAGGGGAGGAAGGGAAGTAAGGTAGGTAGGCAGGTAGGTACCAAGTAAGAGGACGACGAGGAGGCGAAGGAGAACTGCTGGATCTGTACCAATGTACCTTTGGGCACGGTCCGAGGTACCAGATCTCTGGCTGATGTCGAGGTTCCAAGCTGCAGCTGGTCTGTGGCAAGTTTCTGAGACAACGCGCAAGACAGCCAGGTACTTGAGGTTGGTATTTGCCGGGACGGGCGAGGGGGAGGGACCAGCAGGCGCACGATGATGTATGCACTGGGCACAATGGAATGAAGCGAATGCTGGATTCGACGGGGGGCGAAGAGAGGAGATGGATGCCCTGAATTGTTGTCACGAGTAAGGGCAACTTGCAAGTTTCCAAGATGCAGAACAACGGCCTCAGGTACCACCTTACTCCGTACCTTACGCAAGACCAAAAGATGAGGTCGAAAAAGTAGGTACCTACCTACCTAGGTAGGTACAAGGTATAGTAGGTGCCGTTTGTTGCTCAAGAGGGCTTAGCCCAAACCCAGAAGACTGTGCAGGACTGAGTATTGAGTAGGTACCTTACGGCGGCAATTCAAAGAATACCTATAAAGTGATTGGAAGGCACCTGATGTATTGAGGAACACCTTCTCCGTTGCGAGTAGGTACATACACAACATCCGGGCAAGAAGCAGAGGCGGCAAGAGCAAGTTCTGGTAAAGTCGCCTTCCAGTGCGTGTGTGGCCATGGCCAGCAACTACTAGACTAGCAGGAGCCATGATGTCGACAGCGAGACAAGCAAGACAAGCCAGCCAGCCAGCAAGCGTGGATCTGAAAGGGGGGTGGAGATGCAATCTGTGGGCCTGGGAAGGCACGACAGGGGGAGGTGTGGACACACGGGCGGGGTGCGAGAAGGCACGGGCAGGCAGCAAGGCGGCGACGGACATTTGCGAGTTCCGGTACATGCGGAAGTCAGGTCCTGCACCGGTGCGGCCGTGCGGGTGCGGGTAGCGGTACTTTGGTGCCTGTGGCTGGCCGAGCGACTTCAAGGTTTTGGGGCCTTCCGTTGACGTTGGCTTGCTCTTGCTGGTCCCGAATCTGGCTGGACAGCCACCGCTTGCTCTTGCTCTGGCAGCGGCAAACCTAGGTAAGTACCTACTAAGCGGTGGTTATCAGATCCAGATTTTGCGCGCAACTCCATCCTCAAGTCGAGCACATTATCCACTGCGGATTGAACAAGGAAAAAATAAAAAAAAAGAACAAGACCACAGACGATGTGGTACAGTACAAGTGCTTGACCACGTATGAAAAGTGTGGAGTGAAAGCGGCACAGCACTTACGAGGACTGGCAGGGAAACAGAGCTTGAAGGTACTGGAGGTACATGCCCTGCTGGCACGCGCTGCTAGGGTACCTGATGAGGGCCAGTGACAGCTCGCACAGACTCGCACGGTACGAGTGCCAACTGGAACCCAGTGCCAAAACCCGGGACAGGGCAAAAGAGAACGAGGCGCCGCAGGGATCTTGGGAACCAAAAGGTGCGGGTGGAGCAGCAAGCAGGAAAATCTGATGCTTGTTGTTGGATAAGGCTACGGCAGTTTAACCAGGGGCCTGCGACAGGTGTGGGTTGTTGGCCACTGCGGAGAGAATTTGGAGGCGCGCGAAGGAAATTATGCAGGGGGGGGAAGAAAGCAGCCAGCAAGAATGCCGAAAAGCGCAGAGCGTGTGTGTGTGTGTGTGTGCATTGAAGGCACTGTATGATGAGTACGAGTGCCGTTGCAGTACTAGAATCAGCTGGCATCTTTGCTTGTGAGCCTGATGCTGTTCGACGTGAGTTCGCACAAGCAATGCAGCATAAATTCGAGAAGAAACAGACAGACAGCCCCCTATATTCTAGAGGATGCCAAGGGTAAAGTAAATAAAAACATACCTACCTAAACAAGTATACAGGAAATACTGTATGCATTACTCCGTACTGCTGACCGTATCGGATACCTAGGGTGCGCACATGCCGGCTACGGGGGGGTCTGAAAGCTCAATTCGCACCAAACAGAAAGCCATCCGTCCTCGGCTGAGATTCCACCACTCTGTCGACTCGGACTTGTTGAGCAAAGTTCCTCATACGGAGTACGGCGGCTGTACTCCGTACGGACCGCGTGCGGAACACGGAGAGACAGGGATCCAGCCCGGCTCCGGTGGGGTCCAGCTCTCTGGGCCGACGGCCGGGCGTTGACGCAGCTGCAGCCCTGACGTAAATGGCCCCCCCCCTCTATCTCAAGACCGTTGCGGTGCTGGAGAGGCTGGATATTATCATTATTACTCGTTAACACAAGTACAAGGGGAAAACAAAGCACGGCGTCGGCGCCGTCTGGGAAGTGGGTGGGGGGGGAAGCGATATGGAAGGGTTGGGACACAATCTACGGCGTGATGCACGAGACGTCTTGACGAGAGATGATGGATGGGTGGTGATGAGCAGGCGGCATACATACTGTACGTGTAGATGAGACGGAGCTGTAAGGCCCGATGGCGAGATGAAAGCAGGTTGTAAAGTACAAGCGTGTCCCTAGAGGAACGAAGAGGTAACAGCGGGCATATACTTGTACGTATGTTGGTATAGAACAAATTCGCGGTAGGTGGATAAACAGACAGAGATTCAAGCAGAGACGGTCTTCTACCCATCTGTGAGGTAATATTAGTTGATGCCGTTACCATACAGCATCCATCCAACTCTTTGTCAAAAACATCATCATCAAATATAATATAAGACGGCAACATACAATCACACATACGTATGATAAGCTACTACTACCTAGATCCAGCCATCTCAGCAAAAACGGTGAGCGTCATGTTTGCGGGGACCGTGACCTGCGTCTATGACCGTTTCGGTGGATCTCATCACGATAACCTCCCCCCCTCCCATCGATTTCCCACCACACCTGAACACGACTGTAAGTCGACTAGGTAGGTAGCTGACGCTTGCCTGCCTGCTTTTCCCCGCGCCAAGCTCCTCTTTCAGTGCTTCCCAAGCAACGGGATGGCATCGCGGTTGACGACGACGACGAAGACACGACCGGAAGAGTCAATAAGATCCGAAGTGCTCGCCCCCCCCCCCCCCCCCCCTCCTACTCCTGCTCATGCTCATGCCCAAACCGGGCTATCGGATGAAAATGCCCGTCATCGTCATCTCATCTCATGCCGTGTGTGTGTGTGTGTGTGTGTGTGCAGGGCAAAGCGAGAGCCCTTCGTTTGTCCAAGTTTCAAGTTTTTTTCTGCCTCTTCCCTTGCTGCTTTTCGTCATTGTGCGGCAGCTTGGCAGCTTTTGGATCGGATTTTCAGCCTTCCTGGGGAGAAGCATCGTCACAGCTACACTTACACGACACGTGCAAACGACTCGGGGAAGCGCCCATCCCCTTCCCATCTCCGTTTTGCCTCATCTATTATTATTGTCGTATCCGTCCCATATCACCACTGCTCTAGCCCAACGCTGTGTCGCTACACTACGCAATGTCTTGTCTCAAATGCTACAGCCCTTCAGTTTTTGATCCCTCTCTTTTTCTTCCCTTTTCGCCTCACAACACGCAGATGGATTCAACACCCCCCCGCCCACTTGACGCTTCCATTCTGCAGCACCAATCTACAAGCCATGCCTTAGTCCTCACATCCATCCTGCAGTATTACTCCCAAATGTACACAGCATCCAAACCGCCATTCGCTGTGTCGAAGGGTGCATCCAAAAGACGGTTTCAAATCCTTGCTTGAGCGGACCACGCATTCTCGCATCCTCATTCGCACGGAAGCAACCTCGACTGCTTCCCATTCGCCCGCTGTCTGCCCGCCCGCTTCAAGCGCGCAAAGTCCTACATAACAATACGCAACGCTCCATGATACTACCTACTCGTACTAGTAGTAGGTGTGCACAAGTCATTGGATCTCTCAATTACCGTCGACACTGTGCGCTACGGCACTCGCCAGCCAACACAGTGCCCATAGCAGAAACCGATACACCCAAGCCCTGGGCAAAACGGCGTCTCCAAAAAATACGTCACGGCCTGCCGTCCCCCTAACCCTTTTCACTTCTCTCTTCCAAAGAGGCTTGCGTCTTTTTAGGCTTGACGGACAAGTTGGCGCTGGTTGGTGTGTGTGTGTGTGTTCCGGGGAGGGGGAGGGGGGACCTTGTTGCTGCAGGCTTCCGCCGCCGGGAATAAAAATCGCCTACCCAAGCTTTGGCGCCGCCCCCCCTTCTTCCCTTCCCATCCCCATAAATTTGAAGCCGATGTATTACTCGTACGCCTTGTGGAAGAAAGTTTTACGAGATTGCGGTTCAAGATTTCATTTGATGCGGGATGAAGTCGAGCTACGACGAAGAGAGAAGGCGAGTATAGTTGGTGGCAGCGATGGGAGAGTATCACCAGCTGAAACGTCGTACGGAGATGCAAATGTAGGAGCTAAATATAAACATAGCTACGCATTCACGAGGCATCGGTTTGCATGGGGTCAAGCTAAAACCAGCTGTACAAGTACTGCCCGAATGGGAAGTCCGAGCGGTTCAAAAGTTGTTGGCGGACCAAGTGCAGAGGATGGAGAAGTTACATGCACTAGTAGTATGATCGAATCTCTCCTTCAGGAGACATGGCAATGTTATTACAAGCTCAATATCTCTCTCATACCGAAAGGAGAAAAAAAATGAACACGAAGAGCAAGAAGAAATGGAAAAGGAGACGCATACTGTGCTGGTTTTGGCCGTGGTCCTCTGATGACTTGGGCCTCCCTACCGGCCGGTGGCTTCCCGCAATCGGTGTTAACATGGCCGCTCCAGGGATATCTTTGGACCTGCGAACCACAAAAAGCAAAGGGATAGTAAGTGTTCCCGCTAAGCTGGGTCCATCAGGAAGGATCAGAAGAGAAGAGGCAGGGCTCCACCTCTTGCGGCAGCTTGTTCGACCACCCCCCCCGGCCTCGACTAGCTTGTTGCTTGTCTGCCCTTGGCTTTTGTGTCCCCCCGGTCAGTTTGGATGGCTTGTGGCCGGACTATCCTTCATGCCATTACTGTAGAAGCACGAGAAATGTATTTTCTAGAAAAGTTGTGAGAAGGGTCTCCTAAATGCTGAATTGAGCTGTTGGGAATGATTGACGAGTGAGTGTAAGAGGTAGAGGACACGGCCGGGATCAGGTCCATCAAAGATGATGTGAAGTCTTGCTACTGATATTGCCCTAGTTATGCTTCCAGCATGAAGTTATACGGCCGCACTCACACCAAAGCCACCACGGTCAAAGATTGAATTGGAGAATTCATTTAGGCTGCTGCTTCCGTGTCATACGCCATAGCGGTGCTCCTGTAGCACATGCACGACTAAAGGATGTTGAGGCTGCCTCAGCTAAGCTGTACAATGCGTGGAGGAGCCGTACCAATCAAAACCCCGTCTGAAATGGTCATGTTGGCAAGCTGCTCCGTCTTCCCGTTCTTCATGATGTCTTCCACTGTTTCCATTACGGACTAGGAGGGAGCATAGTAATGACGCCAGCATACGGAGTGTCATCTGGCAGCCACGGCACGAGATGCAATCACACAAACGTTTGCATGCCAGGGTTCGCTTTCTGATTTGGGATTCGAGGTGCCATTGCGGCGGAGATGCGTGCTGCGGGTGGAGATGAGGCCAAGCGTGGCAGCATCCCTTTTGGGTCTGCCGGTATTTTACGAGGACGCGAATCAACGTCGACGTCCGTTGCTAGTAATAGTTCTGCTGTAGATATGATACTGACCGTCGTGCCTCTTTCCCCATGTTTTTCTTGTGAATCCCCTCCTCCCTCTTTGCTCACATTCCCATACTATCCGCATTAGACTTATTTCACGGCCTCATTATGGTGTTGTCTCATACAAGTGAGACGCCGAGGAGAATGAGGAGAACAAATGACATGATACGAAGGAGGGGAGAAGCATAGAGAGGAGAAGAATCAGAACGTTATCACACACACACATTTTCCCTCTTGTCCATGAACCGAGGATTTGGGTGCAGAGGCGGTAGGCCGGATTGGGACACATGAAACGCGCCACTCTGGGCTAGGGCTCCCTTTTCTCGCTTTTTTCTCGAAGGGTGTCGATGCTCCATAATTAACGGAATCTTGAACAGAATAAGTGACAAGATTGCGATGGATCTGGTGGTGACGAGGAGGAGCAAAGTCGCTCTGGTTGCCTTTTTGGAGATGCTCCACGGTACGATTGGATCATGAAGATGAAGATGATACTGTAGGAAAGGTTCATGATGGCTTACAGGAGAGACAGATGGTGATCTGAGGTCGAGACGTAGGAGAAGCGTATATACCTACCTTGTATTTCTTCAATGTGAATTGGTAATGCATGAAGCAAAGGGGCCTACGAATGCAAAAACGCCCGTGATGGACTAGCACTCATATTCGTATGTACATGTGAGAACAGGCACGATTCAAGCATCGGATTTACGCGAGATGGCATTTTCAGCCATGGCGCATGCTCCCCTCGAGATTGAAATACTACTACTGGTACTACTACCAGACCAGATACCCGACATGTCTGGCGGCGACGATCGTCCGCGCCAAATACCGGCAGATGCGGGTGCCGGCCGATGCCACTCCGCCAGCCGCATAAGGTACGATGGTGGCATCGGCTTTTGCTTTTCCTGTCCTGATCCTGATCCTGATCCGGATCTTTGATCAAGGTTGACGAACCCGCTATTGATACAGAATACTAGCACGTTTACGAGCATGTGTATGAATTTCTGTCACTACTCGTAGTATCTGCAAAAGGGGGGACATGCGCAAACCCGGCTGATGGTGCAAGTAGTAGGCATGTACTGTATGCTTGGAGATGATGTATGATGTTAGCATTGCGACTTTCGTATTCAAATCTGCAATCCATTCCATTTCATTCACAATTTTACCTTGTGTAACTTCTGCCTCATGAAATTAATACTACTTTTTTTGTTTCTGCTCACGGGATGCTTGCGTTGCCCTCGTGTGGAGCCGGCTGCTAATTAGGGCATTGCCAGCAGCCATTCAGCAGGCCTTGTTCCTTGTCCCCTCGAAATTGCATGGAACATGCCCCCCCGAGATTCGAGGCTGGGGGAACCTAATTAATGAACCCAAGCCAAGTCACACGCCGGCGAGTTTCCCAGGTCGCCGACCAGACAGGATGTGTGGATAGTACTAGTATGCCCTTTTTCATCAGTTCCGTTTCTTCGATCCTGTGAATCGTGCTGGTACAGAGGACGTATGTAGTCGTGCCGCTAGAGAGAGGGATGGTGTGGGTGAATTGAAGCCGTGTTTTCCTCCACAAATGCAGTCGGCGCTGCGTTCAGTCCGCATACTATTACCTAGTAGTATCCCTGTTCCCCTTGCGTGCTTGCTTCGTGGCCATTCACATCAACAGAATTCCGAAGCTCATCCACAGAGGTGCTTTTAGATACAGTAAATGAGCACCCCGTGGCTACTGTGGGAGAAACAAAAGTGCCTGTATCGAAGCAGATGAGATAGCAATAGCCCATCACCCAACACTCTTCGAGCTCACACCGCTCCAGCCTCGACTATCCTCTAGCACATTGATTATGAGACAAGCCATGGCTGGGATTTTCTTTCCAACCTATCATTCTCTGCCAGTATTTCTCCTCTCTGTCCTTTGGGTGGCTAAATAATCAAAGTACCGGCTACATTTCACTCACCAGTCACTCACATCTTGATATTGAAAATCATAGCTTTTCTGGTTCACTCATCTCTTCATTTGTTGTTGGTGCGTCGTTTCAACTTACCCCCAAGCCACTCCCGGCAAACAGGTGATATCAGACGTAAAAAACAACAAGACCGTTGTGTAATTAAAGTTGAGGCCAAGGTGGAGAGATCGGCTCACAGACACGTGCTGAAAAAAGCTTCGTCGCGGCCATGATCTTCAGCTTCTCCTTTTTCTTTTCTCCCCCATTATTTTGTTCTGGATCCCCTTGTTCTCTGCCGCAGAGCCAAGAGAATCCCAACGAGCCGACGGTCAACGACCGGATCTGCTCTCGGCTTTCTGTGTTTGAAAATGTGCGTGTGTGCTTGTGCCCCTTATCCCGGGTATTCGTCACCTTGGGGGACGCAAACCCGAGCCTTGTCCTGCCTGGTCTGGTGTTGTCCATGCTATTTTGCTACATCCATGTATTATCACACATGCCCAACGTGCTACAGATTGAAGCCTGAGAAAGTGATGAGGTTAAGCATGACACTCAGGTAGGTGCTATGAACCTGAATAAGTACGAGTATCGTATAGATACCTATGTTCTTGGAATTTCAGTCCCTTCTTCCTAAGGCCTCATTCTTCTTGGTCGTGACCCTTCGTCTTTCAAGACAGTGCCATTGAACGTCTTGCCTTGTCCACCTTTGTTCTTCCAGCACAGTGCCCATGGACCCTTGAATCGCCACATGCCTCGGCCAACGACCGACTGTTTCACCCAATGACGTCAATAGTCTCCTGCTGCTCTCCCGCTGCCACGCGCCATTCGTCGGCCATAAATACAGTGCGCATCCGGTATTCGTACGCGCAGCAGTCCCACATCTCATGCTGTCGCATGTACTGTGGTACAGTTGTACAGTGCCGTTTGGTCGGTGCCTAGCGCAAGTCGTACTGTATCTCCTGCTACTCAAACATGAACTCAACCAACCTCGGAAGATGTGAGAGAGAACAAGCGGTGGGAGATCTTCAGTACTACCCCGTACAGCTTATACATACTCATGCAATGCTCTAGGATTATTAATATCTTGTCCCGCAAGCAGACAATAAGCCTCGTATGCACAATCCATCACCTTACTTCTCATACTCGGTAGCATCGTTGCTTCATCCTGGCTGGCACTCCGTGTACGATGAGATCACTCTGCATGGGCTGACAGAGGGCCCTCGTAGCGGCCATCACGACTATTCGGTTACATATGGTATGTACGAAGTAAAACGGGCTATTGCTGTATGTACTTGAGAACCACTTGACCCTCGAATACTTCCGTCGGAAAAGGGCAGATTCAGCACACCGTCTTCTCACCGCGACCGATACCGCATTACGACAAGTCAGATTCAACGCGCAAGCATCATCGCCCACTCATCTGTCTTACCGACACAAACACGCCGAGACATGGCGACGCCTCCTTTTTTTTTTTTACTTTTTTTCTTTTCTTTTCTTATTCTTTTCTTGCTCCTCGGGACGGTCATTGCTTCTTTATTACTTTCTTGCTTTCTTTCGCCCCCAAACATTCGGGGTAATACCTGGCCACACTCCCTTGCTCCTCCTGTCTGTTGCCCCAAAGAGCTTTCCATCCTCCCTTGCAAGACGCTTTGACTGGTGATTCCTTTCCCGTCACCGCGGCGTTGGGTTTATGCTGTCCAGGCCAACAAGACATTATGCCAGCTAGATGACGATGCTGTGACACTCAATTTCCACCTGGTCCCCGAGAAAACCAGCGCCCCGGGTTCGGAAAGGCATGGGGATCGGCCAGTTCGTAGGGGGGTTGAACTGAGATATCGTGGTGAGCATGCGATTGGGGTTGGTAAGAGTATTCCGATACTCCCTGGACTAACAGCGCAAAGATGTTTCTACTTCTACGGCTGGTTACCTGAAGGTATTACTAGTACTACCATCCTTGTGTGAATGACGAGTGAGCATTCCAGAGAGCGGACAGGTGTCAGATGCTGTTGGCTCGCGCCTTGTGGAGAGACTGGCCGATGAGGAGAGATACTACTCTTGAACCCTTCCGAGCTTAACCACGAGACGTTCGCCACCGCTCCATGATACAGCCCAGTGGGTGGTGTTTTGTTGCTTCACAAAACAAGTCATTACTTGCACTTGAATGAACAATCATCTCAAGCAAGATGCTGTTGCTCATGGCATCCAGCATTGATCTTTTTCGAGATCATTCCTCCTCCTATCCGAGTCAGCCCCCAACATCTCCCCAGCCTTCCTACTATCACAGCAGGACGGCACAAATCGGACGTCCTAGACCTTGCTTTTCCGCCTTGCTGTTTTCCAACTCTTCTCATTCTCCCTTGTGCAAGCTCAACACTATTACAGCCTGCATGCTTAGCTGCACGTACCGCTTACGAATGCGACGAGGTGCATTCGGTTCCATGCAATGCTCTCCTCCAGCTGCAGACTACTGCACGACGGGCTTTTGAATCACCCATCCTGATGCATGTGCCCGGCAGAGGCCACACACTACATTCAGCTACATATCTCCAGAGAGACGTTGTCATTGGATTGCTTTTGTTTTTCTTCCTTACAACTTTTTTGCT